TTTTTGAGACAGGGTCTCACTCTGTCACCCAGGCTGGAGTGCAGTGGCGCCATCAGGGCTCACTGAAGCCACAACCCTTTAGACTCAGGGGATCCTCCCATCTCAGCCTCTCGAGTAGCTGGGACTGCAGGCGTGCACCACCACACCCAGCTAAATTTTGTGTATCTTGTAGAGATGGGGTTTCACCATGTTGCGCAGGCAGGTCTCCTACTCCTGAGTTTAAGTGATCCTCCCGCCTCGGCCTCCCAAAGCGCTGGGATTATAGGCATGAGCCGCTGCGCTGGCCCTCTGAGCATGGCCATCTGAGCATTACTTTAGCTGCCCCACGTAAGTCTGGATATGTCCTGTCTTCATTCTTACTCATCTCCAAGTCTGACTCCCTTCTGATTTCTTGGTTGACCTCTTTGATTATCTAGGAATATGTTTAATTTCCACATATTTGTGAGGTTCCCAATTTTTTTCCTGTCATTAATTTCTAATACTGTGGATGGAGAGTATACTTGTATTATTTCTATCGTTTTAAATGTGTTGAGGTTGGTTCTATGGCTGGTATATGTCCTGTTCTGCAGACTGTTCCGTGTGCACGTCGGAAAAACGCATATTGCGTTGTTGGGTGACACGTTCTACGGATGTCTGTGAGGTCCGTTTGGCTCATGGTGTTGTTCACGCCTTCTGTTTCCTTGACTCTCCTGTATAGTTGTTCTGTCCATTATTGAAAGTGCAGTATTAATTAGCTGGGCACCGTGGTGCACCCCTGTAGTCACAGCTACTCAGGAGGCTGAGGCAAGAGAATCGCTTGAACCTGGGAGGCAGAGGTTGCAGTGAGGCGAGATCATACCATTGCTCTCCATCTGGGTGACAGAGTGAGACTCCGTCTAAAAAAAAATAATAAAAATAAAAATTAAAAAGTGGGGTAATGAAGTCTCCAGCTATTATTATGGAATGTCTCTTTCTCAATTTCTGTTTCTGTTCAGTTTTTGCTTCATTTACTTATTGCTGTATCATTGGTACATATGTTTTAATGGTTTTATCTTCTTGGTGGATTGACCTGTTGATCATTACATATTATCTCGAATAACACTTTTTGTTTTAACATCTACTTTGTCTATTAGCTTTCCTGTGGTTGCTGTTTGGATGATACATCTTTTCCCATCTTTTTACATTGTATCTATTTGTGTCTTTGAATCTAAAGTGTGTCTCCTGTAGACAACATTTAGTTCAATTATTTTTTAAAACCCAGTCTGCTTTTGATTGGGTTGTTCGCTCCATTCATATCTAATGTCATGATTGATATAGTTGGGTCTGTGTCTGCCACATCTTATTTTCTGTTTCATGCGCCTCATGGATCATGTTGTTTCTGTATCCTTCCTTAGCTGCTTTCTTTTGCATTGGTTATTTTCTTATGGAGCATTTTAATTGCACTAATTTTTTATATATACATATAAATACATGTGTGTGTGTGTGTGTGTGTGTGTGTGTGTATATATATATATATATAGAGAGAGAGAGAGAGAGAGAGAGAGAGAGGAGGTCTCTGTCGCCCAGACTGGAGTGCAGTGGTATAATCTCTGCTCACTGCAGCCTCTGCCTCCTGGGATCAAGTGATTCTCCTGACTCAGCCTCCCAAGTAGCTGGAATTACAGGCGCGCACCACCACACCCAAGTAATTTTTGTATTTTTAGTAGAGACAGGGTTTTGCCGTGTTGGCCAGGCTGGTCTTGAACCCCTTGACCTCAGGTGATCCACCTGCCTTGGCCTCATAAAGTGCTGGGATCACAAGCATGAGCCACCACACCCAGCCCAGTAATGATATTTTAAAGGTTTTTTTTAGTTATTTATTTTAGTGTTTGCTCTGGAGTTTACCATAAATAATCAGAACCTGCTTCAGGTTTGTGCTTAATTCCAGTGAGATGAAGATGTTACGCCTGTATAGCTGTATTTGCTTTTCTCCCTTTTGGTGCAATTGTTGTGATACACATTGTTACAATTATTGCTTTTGCTTCACTATCTGTCATTTCCTTAGACCACTACACCTTTGCTCCCACACACCTCTGCTCCCACACACCTCCTTTGGGCTTTTATTGGCAAACATTACACATATATTACATTTCTATATGCTGCAGGCTGAATACATTATATACATCTTATTTTTATACAGTTGCTGTTCAAATCAATTAAGAAAAAAATGCATTTATAGTGTCTTTTCTAATTACATAATAACCTTTACTAACACTTTTTGTGTTGATCCACATTTTCTTTTTTTTTTTTTTTTTTGAAACGGAGTCTTGCTCTGTCGCCCAGGCTGGAGTGCAGTGGCCGGATCTCAGCTCACTGCAAGCTCCGCCTCCCGGGTTTACGCCATTCTCCTGCCTCAGCCTCCCGAGTAGCTGGGACTACAGACGCCCGCCACCTCGCCCAGCTATTTTTTTGTATTTTTTACTAGAAACGGGGTTTCACCGGATTAGCCAGGATGGTCTTGATCTCCTGACCTCGTGATCCGCCCGTCTCGGCCTCCCAAAGTGCTGGGATTACAGGCTTGAGCCGCCGCGCCCGGCGTCGATCCACATTTTCATCTGGGGTCACCTGCTTTCAGCCTGAAGAACCTTCTTTAGTATTTCTTGTGAGGCAGGTCTGCTAAGCAGTGAATTCTCTCAATTTTTGTTTACCTGGGAAAGTGTTTATTTTTTACTTTAATTTTTCAACAGTAACTTTGCTGGATATAGGATTCTTGATTGGCAGGGTTTTTTCCTTTGAGCACTTTGGATATGCTATTCCACTGCCTCTGGCTTGCCGTGTTTCTGCTGATAAATCAGCTGTTTATCTGTGAAGCTCCTTTGTAAGTGATCTTCGTTTTGCTCTTGCTGCTTCCATGCTTTTTCCTTGCCTTTGACCTTCATTACGTTTATTATGATGTGTCCATCTGTGGGTCTCTGTGTTTATCCTGCTTGGAGTTCATTGAGCTTCCTGGATATGTAGGTTATTGTTTGTAATAAATTGAGTTTTTTTTTCCACCATTATCTCTTTGCATAGTTTTTCTTCTTCCTTCTCTCCTCTCCTTGGATATTCCCATTATGCATATGTGGGGGCATATAATGGTGTCCTGCGCTTCTCGAGGCGCTGTTTGCTTTATTCTTTTTGTCTCTGTTCTTCAGCATAATTCCCGTCAAACTATCTTCATGTTTACTAATTCTTTTTTCTGCTGGTTAAAACCTACTGTTAAGCTTTTCTAGTGATTTTTAAATTTTTTTATTTCAATTATTGCACTTTTCAATTCCAGAATTTCCATTTGGGTATTTTTTTAAATGTCCATCTCTTTACCAACAGCCTCTATTTGTGGCATTTTCACTTATGCTTCCTTTAGTTTTGTGAACATACTGATAGTGGCTGCTTTGAAATCTCATTCTGTTAAATTTGACATTTGGTCACTCTCACAGCAGTTTTTGTTGCCTGCTTTCTTCCTGATGTATGAGTCATACTCTTCTTTTTCTTCCTTCCTTCCCCTCCTCCTCTTCCACATATCTTGTCATCGTTAGACACTAGACATTTTAGACAAGATACTCTAGCCCTTTCGGTAGTCCCCATCCTGGGCCTGTTACTCACTGGTTTAGTCTTTTGGAGACTGGCTGGGTTACTGTCGTGATGCCCGTGCACCCTTCCTCCTCCCCAGCAACAGTCTCTGTGTCGGGGCAGCGCCAGTGTGCCACAGTCACCCTAGGATGACAGGGTTTGGGGAGCAGCCTCTTCCTCTGTCTCACTGGCCACACCCAGTAGTTAAAACTCCAGGTTGCCAGCTGAGAGCTCTGTTACTCCTCTACAACCTGATCATATTGCAGCTCCTTCTCATTGCTTTCTGAGAGAGCCTGACATTGTTCTGACCCCAGGAGGGCTCCTGCCAGCTGTCTTCTCCCCTCGTTCCCCAGCACCCTAGCCAGCCTGCATCTGGGCGACATGGTCAGCAGACGCATGAATCTGCTAATTCACTTCACCTCCACCTCTGATGGTGTTGAGTGTGTCCTTAGGTGTAAGCTTCTTCATGTTCTGTTGCAAATGAGGTGAGTTCCTTTGAGAGGAGATTACTTCCTGCATCTCCCTCCTGGCAGAAATCTCTGAGCCACGGATTTGGGGGATGGGGACAAGGGCAAGCCTCAGTGTGAATGACACCCTCCCTCTCTAGGAGCTGAGAGCTTGATGGGGGAGGGGCGGGGCAGCAGCCTGAGACCTCATCGGCCTCTCCTGGCCTGGAATCACTGCAGCAAGGGCAGTCAGGCCCTATCTTCTCCGTGTGCCACACCCACGGCCAGCCTCCCGCCCATGACACCCAGGGCCAGCCTCCCACCCGTGACGCCCAAGGCCAGCCTCCCACCCACGAGAGTGGGGACTGGGCAGGAGGAGGGAGCCCCACCCTCCACCGGACTCCCCAAGGACCTAGCCCCAGGAGCTGAGAGCAGAATGTGAGATTGTGATGTTGGCCCCTTCTGGGGGAAGAAGCCCCCTGACTGGGAGCTGTGGGTGGGGTGGGGTGGGAGTGGGAGGGCTGTGTCCGTGGCTGCAGCCATTCCACACGGAGTCTCCTCCTGGCCAAGCTGAGGAGGAGGATGCAGTCTTGACACAGATACCACAAATGCTCTTTCTTACAGAATGTTCACATATAAATAGATGTTTCTTTGTTTGCTGTTTGCTCTTAAGATCACTTCCCAAGGCTTTAAAAGGTCAAAGGTTTAAACATTATTTTCACCAGTTTCCTGGGTCAGCTAAGGGCATCCGCTCTCAAGCCCGAAGTGATCACTATTAAATCTTGCTGGTTTTTCGTTTTGTTTTATTGTTTTGTTTTTTTCCAATAGGAACTGGGCCTGTTTGTCAATAACCCTTGCACCCGCTTCCGTGGGTTGGCGCGGGAAGGGTGGCCTGGGGGATGCCTCTGGTCCTGGGGAAGGAAGGGCGCAGCGCCCCGGCCCTCCAACAGGCCTGCGCCCCCAACCCCACGTCCCCTTTCCCCGCAGGGCGAGTGCTCCCCCAAGTGCCGCAGCCTGTTCGTGCTGGAGACCGTGTGCGTGGCCTGGTTCTCCTTCGAGTTCCTGCTACGCTCCCTGCAGGCCGAGAGCAAGTGCGCCTTCCTGCGCGCGCCGCTCAACATCATCGACATCCTGGCGCTGCTGCCGTTCTACGTGTCCCTGCTGCTGGGGCTGGCGGCAGGCTCGGGCGGGACCAAGCTCCTGGAGCGCGCGGGGCTGGTGCTGCGGCTGCTGCGCGCGCTGCGCGTGCTCTACGTGATGCGCCTGGCGCGCCACTCGCTGGGGCTGCGCTCGCTGGGCCTGACCGTGCAACGCTGCGCGCGCGAGTTCGGGCTGCTGCTGCTGTTCCTGTGCGTGGCCATGGCGCTCTTCGCGCCGCTGGTGCACCTGGCCGAGCGCGAGCTGGGCGCGCGCCGCGACTTCTCCAGCGTGCCCGCCAGCTACTGGTGGGCCGTCATCTCCATGACCACCGTGGGCTACGGCGACATGGTTCCGCGCAGCCTGCCCGGGCAGGTGGTGGCGCTCAGCAGCATCCTCAGCGGCATCCTGCTCATGGCCTTCCCGGTCACCTCCATCTTCCACACCTTCTCGCGCTCCTACTCCGAGCTCAAGGAGCAGCAGCAGCGCGCGACCAGCCCCGAGCCGGCCCTGCGGGAGGACAGCACGCGCTCGGCCACGGCCACCGAGGACAGTTCGCAGGGCCCCGACGGCGCGGGCGAGGCCGCCGACTCCGCGGACGCGCTGTGGGTGCGGGCAGAGCGCTGACGCCTGCGCCGCCCGCACGGGGATCCCCCGCCCCCTCCAGCTGCAGCGTGGGGACCCCCGAGGCGCGTCGAGGGCGGGGGTCGTCTGGCTCTGGGGAGCGGCTCCTGCCGGCCGCGTCCTCGGCCCTCCTGTGTGAGCAGCCCCAGAACTCGGCGGGGCCCCGCCTGACTCCCCTGGCAGCGCTGGGCGAAGTCACTGGCCTGTGTCCTCCTGCCCTGCTTCTTTCTTTGGATTTTTAATTTTCTATACCTAGATAAAAATAAATTTAGTAAGTCCCAGAAGTTCCACACCGACTGTGGATGACTTCGTCCCCGCCCCCGACTTTTCCTGCCTCCGGCCAGGGAGAAAGGGGTAGCGCGGCCCTTGCCAGGCCCCCATGGCACCCAGAATGGGCACCCTACGGAAGGAGGCCCTCCGCATCCACCTCTGCCCAAGGCCACATCACCTTCCCAGGGATGGGACAGAGGTTTGAGCCGACGCTCACAGCACCCCCAGTGCCGCCCCAGTAACTGCCCTTTTGGTGGTCAGGGAAGAGGATTCCAGCCCTGACCTCTAACCTCCATTCCCTGACACCACCTCCCTGGGGAATCTTCAAGGCTTGACCTCAGGGAGGGTGACAAGGGCCTCCTGACACTCCCTCCGGATAAGGTCTGCGTGTGGCATTGCAACCCTTCCATGGCCGCCTTCTGGGCCTTTCTGCAGGTGGAGAGGAAGGAAATTTCCACAGCGCGCTGCTCTGCACTCCTTCATTTTGATGAGTTCATCCAGGAAACTTGAGACATGATGGCCACAGCCCGAAGCGGAAGGGGGATGCCTCACCAGAGGGTCCCACTGTCCATTACACAGCAGGAGTCTGTAGGGGACGCAGGTGTGGAGAAAGGGGAGATGTGCATGGCCCTGGTGAGTGCCTGAGTGCAAGCCCCAGTCCTTTTCCATAGCAGACCTGCAGCAACCCACCGGGACCACGTGGGGCTCAGACCTGCCTCCCCCAACAGCCAGGTCAGCTGGTGCCCCAGGTGCCCATGACGCGGAGGGTCCATGGACGCCAGGCACACAGCGCGGGTGGGCCTGGGGTCTGGCTCTGCACTGAGGGCCACTCTCACAGTGACAGCCTTGGGTCTTGCTCAGGAATGAGCAGAGCTTGGTACTGGTCTGAGAGGCCCACGCAGAGGACAGCCCGAGGGGCCACGTGCCGAGGCCGGTGCCCCCTACTTGCTGCTTGTCCCAGCATTGCTGGTGACCCCCAAAGACAGAAGAATTCCTCCTGTGCGGTGAGGTGCTGACCACTACGAAGACCCCCAGAAATAAACCCAAGTCGTTCTTCCACGGAGGGCCAGGTCAGAGGTGGGCAATGTCGGGGGATGGGGAGTCTTGGACCTGCCCCTCCCCACTTTGGGCTGCAGGGTCTGGCCAGGGAGCCCCGGGGCCCTCCAAGACGCGGGCCCACCAGAGGCCACCCTGGGTCACCAGGATGGGGGTGCCGGGCACTTGTGCTGAGACTGGGCTGGGGGTACATTTCCTCCTGAGCAAGCGCCCACCCAGCCCCTGGGCATCCTTTTCCCTCTACAGGTGCCCTGTGGGGCACCCTCTCAGGCCCCTGGGAAGGGCACAGGGCTGGGGCTCAGGGCAGGCCTCAGTTTCTTCATATGGTGACAGGAATGTGAACTTCTCAGGCTCCCACAACCTCTTTCCCACGGAGGGGCCCTCACTGGGGTCCTCCTCGGCCTCCTGCTTCCCTGGTGGTGTTTTGTTGGTTAAAACTATCAGAAGGCATCGCAGGGTGGCAGTGCCTTGAGAGTTGAGAAACGCAGCTATTTCCACTGCTGCCCCCACCCCCCACGGCTCCCACAGTGTGGGGTTGAGACCTTGCCCCCATTTCCTGTTAAAACCCGGTGGCCCAGAGTGGTCCCCAAGAACTGCCTGTCTCCACACCCTGAAGACGCACAACCCCACCCCTGCGCGAGACCTCTGGTTCATCTGGCACCACCCACCAGCACTTGAGGAGGGCGATTTGTGTCCGAGACGTTCTAGACGCGCTGGCCTTCATCTCCCATCTTCCCCCAGGCTGCTGCCTGGATGTGGCCTGTGCCCTCTCCTAGTACCCGGATGGGCCCTTGAACCCAAATCCTGCCCTGCACCCACGCGACTGGTGTTTTACTGGACAAAGAAACTCACATCTTGCCTTCAGTGTAAACACTGCACGGAAAAAATCGCAGTGCGCACACAGCTCCACCTCTATGAGCTGCTCTGAGATCACAAATCTGGAAACGCTTCTCTTGGCCTTTAAAGGAGGCCTTTCCCATGCTCTGAGCCTTCAGTGGTGGGAGGCAGAAGGGCAGATGTGTGAACCGCAGAGGCCAGGGCAGCCAGACCCGTCTGTGACGAGCCGAAAGGACCCCTGGGCCACTGGCCCACAGGCAAAGGGTAGTGACAGGTTGAGGGGGCTGGGCTGTCATTTGGGGGCCCTGGAGGAATCCGGGTCACACGGGAGCCTTCTAAGGTGGCCCAGGCTAAAGGGTGTGTCTGGGCAGAGGCCAGGACCACAGCCAGATCCTTCCCTCTGCCCGGGGCCCACTCATACCACACGGGATCCACAAATGGTTTATTGATTCCAAGTCACCACACGGGATACATTCAGCAGTCACCGTGCCTGCAGTCGGTGACATTTTAATGTGAGGCAATTACCGCTACAGACATCTTGCTTCATCTTAAAAAAATAAAAATTTTCAAAGCATCTCACAGGCCAAAGAGCTAAACAGGACCCCCACTCAGACATTCAAGAGTGTTTCCGAGGAAGACTCAGGGGGCAGCAGCGTGGAACATCTTCCCATGGCCACAGCCACGGCCCCGGCAGAGAGCTCAGATGCCTGCGGGAAGCGGCCCCTCCGCCCGCGGAAGGGAAGACGGTGCCTGTTGGAGCCGCACAGAAGCATCCAGAACTCTGAGGACTGGGGGCCGGCTGCGGTCAGTGCAGGGCTGCTGACACCGTGTGACCTCGTGCTAAACTGAAAACGGGGTGGGGGCAGAGCGTGGGGTGACAAGGGTCAGACTGGCAGCTCCCACTGTAGCAGAACCGTGGGAGCCAGCACAAGGGGCAGGCCCTGGCACTCCCACTCAGGAATTTGCTTCAGGCCAAAAGCCCAGGGCGGCAGGGTGAGGGGCCATCGGCCAGGACCTGCGTGGCAGGGGCAGCCCCTCCACTCCCTGGACCCGAGGCCGCCTCCCTCCTGGAAAATGGACATCAACGCTGTATCCGGAGGTGCAGTCGGCGCCCAGAAGGAAGGGGCTCTCTGCTAGGCCCAAGGGTGGCGTGCGGACTGCGTGTGCACAGCCTCGGCACGGCCCCCGCAGCCTTCGCCCATGAGGCCTCCACGTTGTCTGATGGTCGCTGGCATCTGCCACATCCCCAAGGACTCAAGGAGGACCAGAGGCTCCGACAAGAGCAGCGTGAGCTACCCGTGGTGATGCTCAGCAGGGCTGGACACAGCGTAGTCACGAGGCGTCCGGGCCTGGCAGCCGCTCTCGAGGCCCAGGAAACACCAACTGCCAGAAACCAGGAGCACGGCGACCCTGCGTCCACACAGCTGCTTTCCACCAGCAGCACGGTGACCCTGCGTCCACGCAGCGCCTTTCCACCAGCAGCACGGTGACCCTGCGTCCACACAGCTGCTTTCCACCAGGAGCACGGCGACCCTGCCAGCACCTTTCCACCAGGAGCACGGTGACCCTGCCAGTGCCTTTCCACCAGGAGCACGGGGACCCTGTGTCCACACAGCGCCTTTCCATGTGTACCAGGCAGAGAAAGCCCCGCCCTCCGTGGTGCCAGACCCCGGGCAGCAGAGGCCGCCCCAGTCCAAGCAGGGTCTGGCCAGGGTGTCGCGGGGTTGACGGCTCTGCTCACAGGACTTGCAGGGTCTCCTGAGGTCACCCCACGGGTCCACCTGGAGCAGGTTCCTGCCGCCGCCTTCCACGGCCCTGTGTGTACCTCGGGCTCAGCCGGTGTTTCGTAAGAGGAAACGGGAAAAACGCTTGCTTTTTATATCACCCTAAAAACATCTGAAACCCTCGGGCTCAGATCCACCCTGGCTGTCCCACCCCCACCGCCCACCCGGAGAGACCCCACAGAGGCTGGAGACCCCAACACCCGGACCCCGTCTTCCCCACACCTGCGGCGGCCACAGCACCCACCAGTGCCCGTGGCTGGCTGGCCCACATCCTTGTCCTCCCCACTCTCAGAGGGCCTTGGTGCCAGCAGGGTGCACAGCGTGCAGCGCCGGCTTCTGGGGGTGACGGGCAAAGGCGTAGGCCTGCCCCAGGATGGCCAGGTCCACCAGCACCTGCAGCAGGCCGCACACGGAGAACTGCAGAGGTGCGCCCTTCAGCAGGAAGTAGGCCGTCTTGAAGGCGTCGCCACTGGTCCACATGAGCACCATCTTGATGCTGTGAAGACACAAGCGGGCAGTCGGTGGGGAGGACGGTGACCTGGGGCTCAGGGGGCACCCAGGTGGTCGAGGGGACACCCAGGCAGTCCACGGGGTGACCCAGGGATCAAGAACACCCCAGGGGGTCAGGGGGATACCCTGGGAGGCTGGGGCCTGCCTGGGTGGGGAGGGCTGCCTTACCCCAAGGAGTCAGGGACACCCCAGGGGGCCAAAGGACACACGCTGACCCTGCCTGTCCCACACAACCCGGCCCTTGACTTCTCTGTGGCCTCAGGAGCTGCCGCCTGGCTGGGGCTCCAGGGGCTCCGACTCAAGCACTGTATGCCCAAGAACAGCGAGACCAGCTCAGGTTACAGCGGGCGGCAGGGGTGGGCAGCCGAGGAGGTCAGGGCTTCTGACAGCGAGACCACCTTGAGGTTACAGGGGACCGCAGGGGTGGGCAGCTGAGGTGGTCAGGGCCTCTTATCAGCGAGACCAGCCGGAGGCTACAGGGGACGGCAGGGCGAGCACTCGAGGCAGGGCGAGCACTCGAGGTCAGGGCCTCTGGTGGGTGGTGGCGATTCTGGGAGAGGGCAGGCCGGGGAGGGTGCTGAGGACGCAGATAGGGGCCTCCAGGCACACAGCAGAGCGGAGCAGCTGCTCCTGGGTCTCTGCCGGCCAGGCCTCCCTCCCTGGTGATTGGCTCAAACCTTCCCTTCCGGGAGTGAACAGGGAGCAGCTGCCACCCACCATCCTAGTCCAAACACACTTCCCCCACCGCCATGTTCATGCCCCGGCTTGCCTAGCAGTGAACATGGCTGCTGCTGTTTTCCCACGTGAAATGTTTAAATCAGTGGTCACTGACCCTTCCGCAGCTCCTGAAGCCAGAGGCAGAGCCTGGGCGGGGAGCACTGCCTGGACAGAAAGGACAGGACACAGCTGTCCCCCACCCCGGGGCCTCCATCCCGCTCACAAGCCAGCGTGGGCGCCTGCCCTGAAGTGGCCTGGGTGCCACAGCCGCCCTGCGCGAGAGTCTTCGGGCACAGCCGTGGCCAGGTGTGTGGGTCAGGGTTGGAACTAGGAACCCGCAGGAGACAGCCAGCATCTGCACCCCCTTCTCTCTCCTAAGCCCACAGTGCTCAGCTCTGGAGCATCTTGTTGGCCTCAGAGCATAAATCTGGCTTTATCATTACACCCACTGGGAAAAACCAGGAGGTTTTGGGACTGTTTCCACTTGGGTCGGTTTAGCTAAATTACAAAGGTTTTCCCCAACCCCCAGGGTGCATTTTCCTCCCAGTTTTTATTCTCTGGGATGTGTCTTCCCCTGGATGCAGCTCCAGCTCCACAAAAGCCAGTCTTTTCCACAGACAAAAAGACAGGGTGGCGCCTGGGTAGCACTGGGGGAAGGTGGTGTGGGCACCTCGGCCTCCCACACACCCCAGCAGTCAGCCCAGGCTTTGGAATCCCCCTTTAGGCGTGGGCAGGGCTGTACAGCTGACCTGGGGTGGGGCTCCGGGTCTGGGACCACAGCCCCAGTGCAAAGGCACCCACCTTTACCGCACTAGCCACACACACAGCAGGCGCCTGGGAATCGCGCGGTGACCCCACCGTCGCCCCACACAGCTTCCAGTTGACCCCTCACACCGGGATGGGAAACAGAGCGCTCGCCTGACCTTCACACACGGCTGAGATTTCCCAGGGTGTGCTTGTGAACAACCCTCAAGGCCTGAGAGCCACAAAGGCGGCCATGCCTGCTTCAGGGACGGGCTGCTTCCCACACAAAGCCCGTGGCTTTATTTGGCGTGCAGCATCGGCTCACACTTGAGTTTCAACACTTTGTTTTTAATCAGTTGATAACTGTGTACACACACACCCCACACACATAGACACACAATTTCTGGCTTCCCTTGAAAAAGAGCCTTTTCAGATTTTAGATTATGCATCTAAAATTTCCTTCATAGATATGGATTATTTAATAGATACTCAAGTTATTTCTTCTTGGGTTAAAGGAATTGGTCCATTTTATCCAGATTTTCAAATGTATGGGTATGAGGTTGTTCACTGTACTCTTTTGATGCCTGTGGGGCCTACAGAATATCCTCTTCATACCAAATACTGGGGATCTGTGCTTTCTTGTCACTCTGGCTACCGGTTTCTCAGTTAATGATTTGTTCCGAAGAACCAGCTTTAGGCTTGGTTTTTTATATTTGCTGCAGTTTTGTTTTCATTTTTGTTGCTTGGTGTTAGCTCCGTTATTTCCTTCCTTCTGCTTGTTTGGGTTTACTTTGCATTTCATTTTCTAGTTTCTTAAGCTTAGATTGATGATTTGAGAACTTTCTTTTTCTAAAATCAGTATTTAATACTACAAATTTAAGCATTGCTTTAGTTGCATCCCACAAATTTTGATATGGTGTTGTATTTTTCAGTTCAAAATATTTTCCATAGTTTGCTTTGAGACATCTTTAACAGATTGTTTAAAGGTGTGTTGTTTAGCTTCTAAATCTTTGGAGACTTAAGATCTGTTTCTGCTATTAATTTCTAGCTTAATTCTATATTCGTAGAAAATACTCTGGACAATTTCAGTTGTTTTAAAAAATTCTCATGACCCAGGATATGGTCTGTTTTGGTGAATACCTAATGGGATCTGAAAAGAATCGTACATTCACTTGGTTGTTGATGGTGCCCAGGTTTTCTATATCCTTGCTACCTTTGTCTGCTTTTTCCATCTGTTACTGAGGAGAGCTGGAGTCCCTAAGTGTGACTGGAGATTTGTCTTTCCATTTCTGTCAGTTCTGGCCTCACGGACTTCCAGGCTGGGGGTTCTGTGCAGACGCACTCAGAACCGTTGTATCTTCCTGGTGAATTCACCGGTCTGTCATGATGCAATGTCCCTTTTTATTCAAGGCAAATGTCCTTTACTTTGCCTGGTATTAATACAGTGACTCCAAGCTTTCTTTGATTCATATATGCATAGTATATCTTTCTCCATTCTCTTATTTTTAATCTCACTGCATGGCCTCCTGCTCAGTATATCCCTGCACCCTGGCATCAGCCATGGATGTAATTAAAGTGAGCCTGCTGTAAACAGTAGGTAGCTGAGTCTTGGGTTTCCTTTTAAATTAATTTGAACATTGCTGTCCTTTAATTGGTATGGTTAGGCCATTTACATTGAATGTTATTATTGACATGTTTGAATTTAGGTCGACCATTTTAATTTTTTGTTCTCAGCTTGTCCCTACTGTTTTATTCCTGCCTTCTTTTAGACTATTTGAAATTTTAAAAACATCCCATTTTAATGTATCTGATTTTTCACTGTATCTCGTGTGTGTGTGTGTGTGTTGTGTGTGTGTGTGTGTATTTTTTTTTCTTTTGAGATGGAGTCTCGCTCTGTTGCCCAGCCTGGAGTGCAGTGGCGAGATCTCAGCTCACTGCAACCTCTGCCTCCCAGGTTCAAGCAGTTCTTCTGCCTCAGTCTCCCAAGTAGCTGGGACTACAGGCGCCTGCCACCACGCCTGGCTAATGTTTGTATTTTAGTAGAGATGGGTTTCACCGTGTTGCCCAGGCTGGTCTCGAACTGAGCTCAGCCAATCCACCTGCCTTGGCCTCCCCAAGTGCTAGGATTACAGACGTGAGCCACCGTGCCTGGCCTGTATAGTTCTTTTAGTGCTCTAGGGTATTGGTTCCCAAATGGGAGTGATTATGACCCCATCCTCACACCCCTGCCCAAGGAAACATCTGGCAATTTCTGGAGACATTTTTAGTTGTCACAGCTGGAGGAACACTGCTGGATCTAGTGTGTAGAGGCCATAGCTGCTGTTAAACATCCTGAAGTACCAGGATAGTCCCCCACAATAAGGGATTCTCCAGTTCAAAGTATCAATGGTGCTGCAGTTG